TCGTCGTGCAGCTCACCTTGTTATTTTTGGCTTCTTAAAAAGCATCACGCTATCCAAATTCTTAATAAGAGTTCAGAGACTTCCTTTGTTTCTGATGGGCCAGGGTTGACCTGTGTGAGTCACTGATGTAATTTGAGTTCTGCGTCCCGCCCTGCCGTTGGAAGCCATGTTGAGAGGTCAGAACATGACCTGCCTCAGAAATCTGGGGCCCAGGTTGGCCTCACCACTGCCTCTGTGATCTTGGACCTGAAGTTTTTCCATTTGTGACAGATACCTAATGTCAGAATTACGAGGTTGTTACATATGCGTGCCTTAAGCTCTCAGATAAGTGCGGTTCAGAATTTCTTAAGCCCGGAGTTGGAAGGGATCCTCCCTCCTGGGTCCGACAGTCCAGTGAGGCGTGATGCTCTGTGCAGGAAGGCCTGCGGACGCCTGAGGGTGGAGAGAAGAGGTCTCTTCAAGGAGGGCACGGAAACCCGGGCTGCTTCTCTTGGTTCTGTTCATGTCGCTGATAGTTGGCCTGGAAAGCCTTGGTGCCCCCAGGAGTGACTTCACATTGCGTGTGGTGCTTCTGGGCTTCTGCAGTAGCAGAGGGGGAGGAAGCGGCGCGGGTGTTGGTCGTGGCACCTGCTGCTCTTTTTTTTTTTGTTCTTTCTAATTAATTTATGTTTAGTTTTCAACAATCACTTCCATAAGCTTTAAAAAAAATTTTTTTAAATTTATTTTGATTTATCAGTAATCATTTCCATAAGCTTTTGAGTTTAAAATTTTTCTCCCTCTCCCTCCCCCTGCCCCAAGATGGCGTGCAGTCTGATATAGGCTGTACATATACCTTCCTATTAAACATATTTTCACATTTGTCATGTTGTAAGGAAGAATTAGAACCAATAGGAGGAACCACCAGAAAGAGGAAACAAAACACAACAGAAGAAAAAAAATAGCAAATAGTTGGCTTCGATCTGCATTCAAACTCCATGGTTCTTTCTCTGGATGTGGATGGCATTTTCCATCACGAGGCCTTTGGAGATGTCTTAGATCCTTGCATTGCTGAGAAGGGCTAAGTCTCTCAAAGTTAGTCATCGCACAACGTGGCTGTTACTGTGCACAACGTTCTCCTGGTTCTGCTCACTTCACTCAGCATCAGACCACACAAGTCTTTCCAGGTTTTTCTGAGGTCCGCTTCCTCATCATTTCTTGTAGCACAGTAGTATTCCATTACATTCATATGCCACAATTTGTTTAGCCGTTCCCCACCTGATGGGCATCCCCTCAATTTCCACTTCTTGGCCACCACACAAAGGGCTGCTATAAATATTTTTGTAGCCTGGTCCTCTTCTGAGAGGGCAGCATTCCCTGGAGCTCAGGTGGTGACAGCCACAGCCAGTCCCACCCACCCTGGCTAACCTTTTGGGCCTCCCAGGCCATCTCCAGGCCTCAGACGTCTTCTGCCCTGCCGGGCTTTTGGTTTCAGGTCCACTTTGTGCTTTCGCTGACTGAGTGAGAGGAAGGGAGCCCTCGTCACTGGAGTGACTTTGGGATCCTTGGTTCTCGCAATCGGCCTGACCTTGAGCCAGACTTCTTGGTTGTTCTGTCTTAATTAGGTCTCCTGATTCCCATCCTTGAACACTCACGTGCTAGCCGAGACTCGGACCCTAGCCATCGTGAGCACTCAGAGCTGGCCTCTGTGTTAGAGCATCAGAAATTGGTTGTGGCACATTGCTTTGATGAGGGCCTGGGACCCGCTGCTGCTGCGGTAGATAGAATATTGTGTGACCCCAGGGTTGGAGGGGGGTCGGAGACATGGACTGCCTCTTTCTTTGCTTGGAGTTTTCTAGGGTTGGCCCTCTGAGGGGGAAGGCTCTACCTCTCCCAGAGCTGCCCTTTCCATGGAACTGGGGCTGCTGCTGTTCCACACCTTGTGAGCCTGAGCTGGACGCCTGCTTTGCGTGGGGTGCC